TTTTTTTTTCTTTTTTTACCTCCACCGCTCCAAGCTTGCTCCTGTGATGGAGTGCAATCTCAATACAAACTAGTAGTCCATCACTGGAGCCACTTAAAAAAATTAATTTTATTGTTTATCCGATTAACCGATTAATCGAACTTAATAATCGGCTAACTGATAGATTCCTCGTTAAGGTTTCACGAAATGAAAGATTCCATTGAGTCAAGAGATAGCAGTGATTCTGTTAGTGATAGTGAAAGTCGTCCTACACAATAATCCTCCTCTCTCTTTGGTTTATTTTTCTTTATATTTTGTACAGTATTATATTACAGTACAGTATTTTAATCATTTTTATATGAATATTTTTGGGTTGTGGAACGAATCATCTGAATTTCCATTATTTCCTATGGGGAAATTCGCTTTGATATACAAGCGCTTTGGATTACAAGCATGCTTCCGGAACGAATTATGCTCGTAAACCAAAGTATTACTGTATTCCTAATTTTAACACTGACTGGAAACAAAATAGACAACCATCCTACTAAACTGCCATCTTATTTTTCCAAAAAAAATTCCTTTTGGTCAACTTGCTTCCAGCCTCAGAAGATGACACTAAATATATGCCAGAAAAGGTTTTGCAGCTGTATATAAACACATGGGAAATGTAGCATGAAAAATTTATACATGGGCACGGTCTACCAGGCTTTTGTTCTCCATTCTGCAAGGTGGTTTAGATCTCCAAATAACCTATAAAATATTTATTATAGCCTGTCAGTCGGCTGCGGACCAGAATTGGCCCGCGGGCTGGTACTTTGAGACCCCTGATTTAGAACATGTGTAGATAACATACATAACATGTTCAGAATCCTTATAAACACTATGTAAAATATCAGATCGTATTAAAACAACTAAACTTTAAATCAATGTACCTGAAATAGTTTTTATATAATCAGAATAAATAGTTAAACCATACCTGTTGTCCCTGAGGGCTTTGTAATATCTGAGCTACTGCAGCGAGGGTGTCTGTACTGGTTATTTGGGCAATCCATGGGTCAGACATGCTTTGAGATGCATTTGCGGGAGTAACCGGGGTAGCTGGTGTCCCTTATAAAGAAATCATCATATTCTAATTAGAGGCATTATAAATTTCAGGATTATAGAGCTTCTGTACCACACAAACAGATTTCCATTTTATTTACAGTCTTTATAGCAAGTGGAAGATAGAGAGATTGTTGTGAATGAAGAATGAAGACCTTTATTTTATTCACATCCCTAATGAAAAAAACAAACACAGTGGAGTGGCACAAGTATACTTATTTTTACATCCACATTAGAAAGTTAAGGGAAAGTGGTTGTGACACAGATTTAATTTACATTTTAATGAGGCTGGACTACTGTACAAGGATATCTGTAAAAAAATAAGCCAAGGCAACTGGACTTGCTGTATTTTTCCTGAAGACGTTTCACTAGTCATCCGACCAGCTTTTTCAATTCAGAATGACTTGTACAAAAGTTATATGTGAATAAATCAAGTCATTCTGAATTGAGAAAGCTGGTGGGATGACCAGTGAAACGTCTTCAAGAAAAATACAGCAAGTCCAGTTGCCTTGACTGTTTTTTTACAGATATACCATGACCTGGAGGAATGAGAACCTTCACAGACACTGTACAAGGATGTCTAGAAATGTTATCCAGTCCAAACAAATCTTTATATGTGTGTAGTTAAAAACATATTGTATATGAGACATTCAAAGCTAAAGTTTTGAACTGTGAATACATTTTTACATTTCTTTTAGTCAGGTAAATATAAAACATGTTTGCCACATTTAGCAATCAGGGAGAGGTTTAGAGTCGGCTGACTGGACATTTTTCGGCACAAATGAATGAGTCAAAAGAGGGATACACCACCCCCCCTGTCTAAATAACTCTTTATAGAGTATCAATTAGAGAGACGCTCCACGAGTGAGCAGCCACTACTGGGCATACTTCACCAACTTCATGGTCATGGAGGCAACCATTATTATGTTATATATTCCTGTATAATAATAAAGCGCTGCACAAACTGTTGATGCTATATACATCCTGCATAATATTAATAAATAATCTCTAAAATGAGCATTTGTTTTTACATGCAATGAAAAATTTAAATTTGCAAGCATTAAATAATCAAATACATTATAATTCTCCTTTAAGTAACTAACATGAAAAGAAGAGCTTACCAGGTGTATTGCCAACAGCTGCAGCAGTACTAGGAAAGACGGGTGTGACAACAGGGGGATGAATACCAGCAGCCATATCAAGAAGAGGTTGGATAATTTCACTCTTGAAAACATTGTTTTTCTGCCACAGATTCAATACTCTTACAATCTTGCTCTGTATGAAAATACAAAGACAGAGGTTAGGAACATGTAAACCAGAAAGAGCAAGCTGTAAACTACCTATATACCTCATCTTATATGGATCTGCATTTAACACTTAAATATAATTGCAGAGATAATGATTTGAATGTGTTATGCTACAACTTACTCTGGTGTAAGAATATTTGTTTTAATTTGGCTGGAACTTAAAGAGAACCCATAACATCCACCACACTGTACAAACCTTACTAGTAAAGGTAAAGTGCAGGCACCTGGTAGCTACTGCTACTATCTGTGCTTGTCTTCAGTTCCTTAGGCCCAAGGTGTATGCTGGTCTTCAAATACTGTCTCAGCTGACTTTAAACTCTTCTCCCTCCAGCTGATAAGTCCTACTCTTTGTAATTTGTAATGTGTTTTTAATCAGTTTGGTGGACCTGACAAGCGTGCCTTACGGATCAGTGTATAAGTTATATTTCAGTTAAAGGAGAACTATGAGTTGAGTGCTTTTCACTCACCTCATAGTTCTAGCCGACCTGTGACAATGAGACTGTCACAGGTCGGCTCAGTAGATCGGGAAATGAGCGAACACATACCGGCGTTCGCTCGCCTCTCGATCCTGTCACGGCTCTCTGCCGTGACAGGGGAGGGGCTGGATTCCCCCTGTCACTCACGCAGCTG